TTTTTTTTTTTTTTTTTTTTGTTGATTTGTCTTGTTCAACTTCAATGTGACACACTTTGTTTTCTCTTACTATATTTTATTTTGTTATATCATATATCTTATATTTATTTTGTTATATCTTGTATATCTTATATTTATTTTGTTATATATCTGGAAAAAAGGAAAAAGATTTTTCTTCATACAATATATTCTGATTACAGTTTCCCCTTCTCAGTCCTTCAGCTCTTCCTCACCCATCCACATCAGTTCCCTTTCTATCTCTAATCAGAAAACAAATCGCCATCTAAGGAATGATAACAAAATAAAATGCAATACAATAAAACAAATTAAAACAATTAAATTCATCATCACAAAAAAAATCAAACCAGAAAAAAGGTCAAAAAAATGTAAAAGAAACACAAATTGGCACTGAGATATACACGTTCACACACAGAAATCCCATAAAAACCTTCAAAAAGATGCTATGTTATGTACAAAAAGATCTGTAAGACAAAAAGAAAAAAAAAATCCCTGACTTAAAATTATGAGACAGAAACATCTAAATATGCTATTGATTTTGTTTTGCTGTGGCCATCTATTGCTGGGCCAACCAGCAGTGGTTGTTTCTCCCTTGGATAAAACTTAGCTTTTTTTTTTTTTTTTTTAATTTGCCTATCAATTGCAGATAGCTTCTGGATTAGGGATGGAGCTCTTGTCCACCTTTCCTTTCAGCTCTATGGCCCCATCTGGTACAGATCCATCTGGGGCCCTATGCCTGCTGCCACATTTTCTGTAAGTACATATGTGTGACAGCTGTGTTGTGTCTACGAGACCCTTTTGCTTGGTCTCCTCCATCCCTTCTGGCTCTTACATTATCTTTCTGCACCCTCTTGTAGATTCCATAAACCCTGAAGGGAAAGATTTGGTGGAGACATCCCATTTAGGTAAGGCTGAGAGTTCCAGGACCCTTCACTCATGCATATTGTCAGGCTGTGGGCATCTGCATTTGCTTCTATCTGCTTCAGGAGGAAACTTCTCTGGTGATGGCTGATAAAGGAATTGTTTTATGAGTGTAAGAGATTATCATTGGGTGTTATTTTACTGCTGTATTCCTTTGGCAGAAGAGTAGCATTTGGTTTTCCCCAAAATAATTGACTATTAATAATTAATTATATTTTGTATATCACAAAGAACAATCAATAGAGAGAAAAAAAAAACAGCCCACAGATTGGGAGAGAATCTTAACAAGTCCAATACTTAGGAAGGCTACTTAGAACATAGAACTCAACAATGATAAAATCCAGTATTCTGCCCTATTTGTTCCACAAGCACAAAATCACCACCTTCAAGCAGTTCACTCATGAATTAAAAACTTACACACAGCACCCTGTAATGATGTACTTTTAAAAAGATTTTTTTTAATTTTACACTATAGAAAATTGAAGTGTCATTTCATAGAAAAACAATAAGTAATTTTGTTAATGAAAACATATAATCAAAATGAGCTATGAAAACTATTAAATGATGTAATACTAATGCTGTTTGGAAGAAATTAACTGGGTGTCTCTTCTTTAAAACCACAGAATCGGTGTTGCAAGTAGACATTTTCTTGTCCATCTTTTGTGCTTGAATGGGCAGTGGGTATTCCCTTTTTCTTCCCAATTTCTGTGACCTTGAAAGAGACAGCACACAACAGTATAAGATTCTAAGGATTGAGATAAAGCACTGTTTATATTTTTATCAGTCACTCATTCTTGCTTAATCACCTCAAAGGCTATATATGACCATTTGTGTCTCAAAGACACTGCTTCATGTCTTCCATTATATTGCCTTATTTTGAGCTACCCCTTTCCTTATATGTGGTTCTTGAAAAGATGAATCTTCTCACTCAACATGAGTTTATTTGTGTGGGGTTGGATATTTCCACAACGTGGTGAGGGGAATTATAACAAAAAGAAAAAGGGGGGATGAGTATGAAAGAAGGAGGAGATAGAAAGACCTAGAGGGGACAGGAGCTCCATAAGGAGAGCAATATAACCAAAATATCTGGGCACATGGTTCTTTTCTGTGACTGATACTCCAACCAAGGACTATGCATGGAGATAACCTAGAAACCCTGCACAGATGTAGCCCATGGCAGCTCAATGTCCAAGTGGGTTCCCTAGTAATTGGAACAGGGACTGTCTGACATGAACTCAGTGGCTGGTTCTTTGTTCACCTCCACCTGAGTGGGGAAGCAGCCTTACCATTCCAAAGAGGAAGACAATGCAACTAGTCCTGATGAGACTTGATAGGCTAGGGTGAGACGGTAGGGGAGGAGAACCTCCCCTATCAGTGGACTTGGAGAGGGGCATGGGATGAGATGAGGGAGGGAGGGTGAGATTTGGAGGGGAAGAAGGAGGAGGCTACAGCTGGGATTCAAAGTGAATACACTGTAATTAATGAAAAAAATTTAAAAATTAAAAAATAATTTAAACAAACAATAAAAAAAGAAAAGGGTTGAAACCATGTCTAAACATGGTTTAGAATAAAAACAAAGAAAAACAACATGAGGTTCTGGTTTTCTTCAGAATTTATGCTCTGAGTTATCAGGTTGAGCTGGAAATCATGGATGATTGCAATAAGGAATCTTGAAAATGGAACAACTAATGTGTATGTTCCTGCACCAAAATGCAGCAGAATTTTCAGTTAGACTGTTCTATACCTTTTGTTAAAGTCATCTCATATTTTATTCCAGTTATTTCATGAGAGTCTCATGATCCTTTGTGTCTGTCATGAACGATGTTGTCTCCTTTTTCTTAAAAATGTTCTTTTTCTGTGTTTCATGTAGCTTCACTTTTATCTTGACCACTCAATTTTTTAGTCTTAATTTGTAGTATGCTTTACTTCTAGCTATTGCTCCAGTGTGTTGTGATTCATAACTGCCATCAGTGGTCTGTGTACTCATCTTGTCTAAGAGTCTGCACTCAGTGACAAGTAGACTGGGTGGATCTCTCTGTTCTATGACTCATTATCTTTGTCATTGTAGCTACATCTATGAAATTCAATGATTACTATCTTTCTTTTGCTTTGTAAAGTTCCAGCTCATGGTAAATATTTAGTAGATATTTAGTATATATGTAGCATCCATTGTACAATTTTTAAATATGATCCTAATTCAAGGTTTGTCAAGTATCCCTATATTTAAAAATATGCGCTAAATTATTTTCTATTTTAGATCTGTATTCATAGCACCAATACCTAAATCTCAGTGATGATGTATATTTACTAAATTTTCTATAGGCAGTTGAACATCAACATCAACTTGAGTATATTTCCACACCCACATAGGTCATGTTCTTTATTCTCAGTGTTAGTATTAGCACCATTTAGCCAGTTTCTTAATGTTATTTCTGAATTGCTTTTTGATGTTCTTTGAACCCTATTTCCTCTCTCACCATCATTACCAATCTGGTTGTAAAACCACAAGGGTCTTTCTTCTTAAACTTGAGTCAAAGCCCCACTTATCTTTCTTCTGCTAAATACAATTATGAAATAGCTTCTGTGATGTCTTGAAATAGTAGCTGCCTGATTTTAAAATCATGCTCCATAGACTTTGGATGTTTTGGTGATGCAAATCTATGGTGATTTTCAAACTGCCAAAGTCTCATAAGCAGCTTCCATAGTTCCTCAATATTTATGCAAGGACATAGTACATAAGCATATAATAGCAACTAGTCGTATCTAAGCAATATTTCTGCCTCCAAGTCAATTTTCTCTGCAGCACAAACTTTCAAGACAGGTTTTTTTTTTTTTAACTAAAATATCAAAGTAACTAAGCAATCATTCTCATAAAACCTTTCAACATTTAACTGTTCTACAATGAATGAACTATATCTTTATTTGTGACAGTACTACATTTATCTGACCATTTTTTTATTTTTATTTTTTATTAATTCCACTTTATTCACTTTGTATCCCCCATAAGCCCCTCCTCCTCCCCTCCCGATCCCACTCTCCCTCCTCCTTCTTCACGCATGCCCCTCTCCAAGTCCACTGATAGGGGAGGTCCTCCTCTCTTTCCTTCTGATCTTAGTCTATCAGATCACATCAGGAGTGGCTGCATTGTCATCTTCTGTGGCCTGGTAAGGCTGCTCCCCCGTCAGGGGGAGGTGATCAAAGAGCAGGCCAATCAGATTGTGTCGGAGTCTGTCCCTCTTCCCATTACTATGGAACCCACTTGGACACTAAACTGCCATGGGCTACATCTGTGCAGGGGTTCTAGGTTATCTCCATGCCTGGTACTTGGTTGGAGTACGAGTCTCTGGGAAGACCCCTGTGTTCATATTTCTGGTTCTGTTGCTCTCCTTGTGGGGTTCCTGTCCTCTCCAGATCTTACTATTTCCCACTTCTTACGTAAGATTCTATGCACTCTGCCCAACATTGTTGGTCATGAGTCTCAGCGTCTCCTTTGATAGTCTGCAGGGCAGAGCCTTTCATCTGACCATTTTAAAAACAGCTCTTTGGCCTCATGTTCTAACAATCTTTGTCTCCGGTAGGTATTGGAATTAATGGTGTTGACACCCACTTTGGTATATTTTCATGCTATTTCTATTTTTTTAGATCTCTCTCTCTCTCTCTCTCTCTAGTGTTTTCACCCATTAAAGAAAATAGTACCCACTACCTACTCATTTCTCATGATGTGCTAGACACTGTAATAACTCATAAATATATAGACATTTCTCCCCTTAAAGTACAGATTCAAGTTAAACTTCCCCCAGTATCAGTCAGCTCCCAATTGTCAAGGCTGTCATTCCAATCACATCTGACTTATTCATAACCTGTTCTCTTGGTCACTATTCAAATGTACTTCCTTGTGCTCACTTGTGTAGTATGTATACAAAAATTGGAATAATATAGAGAAGATTAGCATGGCTGCTGTGAAAGAGTGACACTCAAATGTACTTTCATGCCATTCTACTGTCTTCATGCATCATGTTATTCAGCATATATACAAACTTTTTCGGATTTTTTCTCAATATCCATTTTGAAAAATCTTTTTCTTAGAGATGAGTGTAAGGCTATCATCTGAATTCTCTCTTCCAGATACAGAATTGTTGTATAACATACCAAAAACTTCGTGTTTAGAATGCTAAAGAAAAAGTCGATTTTCTCTTTGGCAAATCTATTACTGGTCTACTTACTAACTCAATGAAACTGTGATCTCCACACACTAATTTTTGTTTCTTGTCAATTATTTTCAGCTGAAAGCAGTAGAGTTGGAGTTTATCTTCTTCCTCACAGTGGAAGTCGTGCCATTTTCTATTCCCCACCACTTCCATATGACTTCCTGTATTGTCTTTTATTTTGTAGATTGTGTTCTTTGGGTTCACTCTTTTCTGAAAATGTAAAATTAGAATTCATTTTCTGAAAGTTGTCTCATTCACAGTAATTGTTATACATTCAAAACAGATTTTTTTTTCAGGACAAAATCATAGGACAATATGAAACCTATTTGACACAGGCATGCAGGAATTTTCAGCACAGTCTTCCGCCCCCAAATTTTTATTACTATAATAATTTACTCTCTTGATTTGAAGATTTCTGCTTAAATATGCTAGGACAATAAATGTTCTTCTTATTTTTGAGTTATTCCTATTCCTCAACAGCCTGGATTCCCAGGAAATTACCTGAGATCACAGGGATCAGAAATTTTCTCAGCCATCTTTGTATGTTCCGCATGTAAAGGGAAAAATTAACATTTGCTCCTACTGTTCATTCATTCTGTAGGTTACACGGAATCTACAGAACAAGCTTCCAATGATTCACTTATTTAGACCTTCTTCATACCTTTCCCAAGTATCATGTCCAAGTAAGCCAATGTTTCCCAATTTATACTGTATTGAATCCAAGATATTTCTCATCAACTTTTCAATTGTGTTCATAAGCATAGTCTCTAAATGGTGTGCTATAAACATAATGTGTTTAAAATAAAGGAGATATTAAAAGGAGACTGACTAACGAGCCATAAAGATGCCGTGTTTATAAAACATTTGTTGAGTTCACCAAGGTTGTCAGTTTTTTAACTGAATTCTAATACCCTAAATTTGGCCCGTGATGCATCAATGAGATATTAGTATATATCTAATAAATCTAAAATCTAGTAAATCTAGAAAAATAGATTCATTTGCCTTCCCAATGTCATTTTATACAATAGTTCCCAGTTGCTATGCTAATCAGAAATAATTAGTTAATTGAATAAAATACAAGAGTCAACACCAAATGGTTAAACCTACTATCTCCAGAGAGAACAGATTCATTCAGTTGAATGGTTTTGAGTTTAAGAGGATGCAAGCTAATTTCTTTATAACTCCAAATACATGTTACTATCAATAGTCACCCTTGTTCAGGCAACCTTTAGAAATAAAGTCTACAGAAAGAATGAGTATTGTATAGCTGTAGTAGAACTTAAAAAAAACTGAGACTGTTGGCATGGTACCAACGTGTGTCTTTCACCATTCCCTCGTCCTGTAGTTGAGGGTAAGTATTTGTAACGAGGAAAATAAAGCTTCTTGAAAAATCATTTTCAGGGAGCTCTCTCAAAGATACCTTAGGAAGCAGACTGTTACCTGGTCACCCACTATTATTCCTTAATATGTGGGTTGATTTCACCTTCTCTCCCCAACCAAGGTAGAGTACTTGTGTTACAATATTTTCATAAACATTAACTAGAAAGTATTATATTTAATTCCAGGTGTTGGTGGAGAAAAATTTAAAAAGGGATTTTCAGGCATTACCTTCATTAATGTAAACAAGCCATAAATCAGTAGTCCGGATTTACCCAGCTTAATATCAGAGATCTTGGGAGTTTTATTTGCTCTTTGGATAAGACTTTTGGAGACTTCAATTTTTTGTCCAGAACCAGCCTTAACCACAGAGGAAGTTTCATTTATCTCTAGGATTCCTTTGCTCATGAAGTAATTGGAAATGACGATGACATTATTTTTTTTGAACTTGTCTTTCAGGTCGACATTGAAAACTTTCACATGGAAATAATGCTTCACAGTAGCCACTGTAGCATGAAACATGGTCTTTCTTCCATGTTTTGATGACTCATATTCAAATGGATCTGTTGAGTTGAGCACCATCACTGTCATGGCATCCTTTTGGAGAATAGCACCTCTGGTAATATTTTGACACGTGCCCTGTGATTTTTGGTTATGGGTTGAAAATATATAGGGATATAAACATGAAAGTTTAGCAGCAAATATAAATCAGATAAGATAACCTTCAGATAATATAAATCTTAATCTCAACATTGTTTCTAACAATTTTTTATTTATTTTTAGAGCTGAAGATAAGCTAAAGAGGAATTCTTTATTTGGCCAAAAAGCTAATGAATTTAAGCATTGGAGTTGACCCAGTGATGTTTAAATACCCTCACTAAAAAACAGAGTATTCTTTTTAACACAAAGGGAAACATTTAACATAAACACAGCACAAACTATTGAGAGCAATTCTATTAAATATAAGTGTAATTATAATTCCTTCAAATGAAAAAAAATAATTCCTTCAAATGTACCCTTAATTCTTATGGCCAAAGAATATAAAAATGAAAAATTAAATATGGTTGAAAATAGAAAATAATGATCATATACCATAAATATGTCAACGGTCTTAGTTACCACTGGACTTTTGCAGGGTTATTTTGAGGGTACAAATCACAGTGTATCTCCTCAGAAGGTAGCAATATGCTATAATTAAATGATGAAAAAAAAACTAGCTATCTCCCAGTCTTCTTTTAAATAGGCTCAAGGAGAGTTAGTTTGGTTAGAGACATGTCCTTAAGCATGGATAGAACATTTTCCTCAAAAGCATAGATTTGTAAATCCAGAGAGATATTGATAGGCATCTGATCTCCTTTCTGCACAGTAGACTGAGCTCAATGGGTTTCAGCGCAGCAGTTCAGTGGAGAGAAAATTGCCTAACTATAAGATAGTATACAAAGCAATGAAAAGCTATGAACTTCATAGATTTTGAATATATGGAGATAGTGTTGTTGTGTCCACCAAACCAAGAAGATACAAATAGTCTGATCTATCATGTCATACATAGTCATCACCTATGAGTTATTAGAGTTCACTTGGAGCTAATTTTTTTTTCAGTGTAACCAATAATTATAACATAAAAAACAAAAAGCAATACAGTTAATGATGATGATTAAGTACTTAAACAAATATAAATATATATTAGTAAACAAATAAGTATATAAGTAAACAAATAGCAATGACTAGTTTCAAATTAACAAGAAAATTATAGGATGAGCATTAGATAAATTAGTGGTGTTCAAAATGAGCCTTAATGCACACATTTCAAGGATACTCACTGAAAGGGGATCTGAGTTTGTTTTAGTGGATAATCAATCTCTAATGAATTATTTTAAAAATCACAAATACTGATGTACTCATTGAATATGATATCATTTTAACTTAGGGACATGGAAAGATAATCTTGATATGTTAAACTGGAAAAAAAACAAGTAAACTAATAACTATTGTAAATTGATACACTAGAAAAATTTTCTACATAATTATAAAAATATTTGAAAGAATACAGAGAAAACCCTTTATATTTTCGGAACGGTAAGGTTTAGGGTGAGAAAAAATTACTTCTCTGTTTTGCTTACCTGGCAGCTATATTTCCTCAAGAGGAAAAAGAGAAGAGGAGGGAGGCAAGGAAGGAAGGAAGGAGAGAATACAGAGAATGAATGCTTATAATGTTGTCGTTTGCCTTCTGTGACAAATCATTTGTTTCCTTCAATGTGCACTCAGAAAAAAAGAGGCATCGACCATCCTATAGTCCGTATCTTACTAGGCTAATATTTTTATATGTTATTAGGCTAATACTGATACTTGAAACTACAGAAAAATTGACAAGTCCAAAATGAAAGAAGTTTGACCTTGGAAGAGTAAACACTTCCTTTCATTCCCAGTTTCTGGTAAATGGTCTCTTATCCTGGACTTCCACAAATTCTTTAACTTCCCTCACTTTGTTTTTTTGTTTGTTTGTTTTTGTTTTTGTTTTGTTTTGTTTTTCTTTAAGAAATGGCATTTTTACTATTAGTTTTAAAAGTTTATAAAGCTATTTATTGGCCACTAGTCACCATTATTTACTATAAAGTAAATACATAGCTGGATGACATTCTAATACTGCAAAGTTACTTTTCTGGTTCATAACACCAAACCAATCCTGAAAGGAATGAAGTTAGAGTAAAGAAAAAAGCATGCAAGTCGTTAACTGATATTAGCAAAATTTGTTCACTCACTTAGGTCAACAGGTGTTAAACTGCCAACATTTATAACCGTGATTCCATTTCCACAGCAAACAGATTCCATGAATCATAATCTTTTAGTCCTGATTTCAACTCTCTACAAAGGAATGTTTCACCAGAGGCACCTTTACATGCCCTGGCTGACCTAAAACTTGCTCTGTAGGCCTGGCCTCTAAGTCAGAGATCCATCTGCCCCAGAGTGCTGGTATTAACAGCCTGCACCACCTCACTTGGTTTAAGTCCTGTCACTAAATCAAACTACTGTTTTGCCTAACTCCATTTTCTGAAGGAGGAGTAGTTATGGACAAAATTTTGCAAATATGCTACTGTATTTGCATGGTAATACACAAATTCTGTTGTGGTTGCTTTTAAACTATCCAATAAAAACTGTCCAATAAATTATAGAATATGCTTAATTTGAAAGGTTATGGCTTCAGGAAAATGTTCACAACGATGGAATCTGATCAACTTTTGTTTTCATCTTTAGTTCTTTTGAGTAATAAAAACAAGACAAAACAAAAAACAGTTATATAAGTGCTTCATGCATACCTGTACATACAAAAAAAAAAAAAAGGCCATCAATGGTTCCTTCTGTATCCCAGTTAAAAACAAGTTCTGATAGAGTAATAACTGTAAAATCCCCCCAGCATGTAAGAAAAGCTATTCTCCAAAGCTGAGGAAATACAACATAGTATTAAATATTCTATTGTTAGAGGAAGCAACTACAGAAAGCTCTTATTTGCTTAATGGAATCAGTGCCTTTTGATACAGAACAAAACCCAAAAGATCCCAACTACTGTCATATCAAACTCAAATTTTCATCAGAACACTATTTGTTTTCACACTAGTAATTCAAAACCCAAAGTCTTTTATGTGTATTATAATATATAATAGACAGCAGAAGTGGATAAAGACAGGGAACTGGACAGATAATGGGGAGGGAAACTAGGGTGAGGATCAGATGTAAGGAGAACAGAATTGGGGGGGGAGGGCTAGGAACAAGAAGGGAAATTGAGGGGGCCATCTCTTTGTCAATCTGGAGTCCTGCTACAGGGTAAGCTCCTGGGTGTGACTCTAGCTGAGACTCCTAACAGAGCAGGGGGTTAGACATGAAGCCTGAAGTGACCATCTCTTAGCCAGGTAGGACTAGTGGAAGAAGGGGAACAACAACCCACCCGCAAAACCTGTGATCCAAAAATTACCCTGTCTACAAGAAGTGCAGGGTACAAAGATTGAGGGAAAATTTAACCAATAATTGGTCCAACCTGAGACCAACCCCACAGTACAGAGCCAGTCCCTGAGACTAATAATGATGCTCTACTATGCTTACAGTCAGGAGCCTAACTTGACTGTAGTCAGGGAGGCTCCAGCCAGCAGTGGATCAGGACAGATGCTGGGACTCATAGCTAAGCATGGGGCAGAGCTCCGGAGTGCTGTGAAAGTGTTGGGGGAAAGACTAAAGGAACCTCAAAAGAAGACCAGCAGAGACAATTCACTCAGTCCCAGGGGGGCTTTCAGAGACTTAGACATTAACTAAGGAGAATGCATGATCTGGATCTAGGCCCCCTGCACATATGTGGCTGATGGGTGACTTGGTCTTCATATGTGTTGCCTGGCAAATGGAGAGAAGGGTTGTTTCTAATATGGACTCTAATCGAACATGGACTCCCCCTGGCAGCGATGCCTAGCCTGGCCTGAGGGGATGAAGATATTCTCAGTCCAGAGGTGACTGGATGCTCTGGGGCAGGTTGATACTGAGGGAGGGACTCTCCTTTTCTGGGGGAAAGAGAGAGGGGAAAAAGGAAGGGAAAATACAAATAGATCCATACTTACCACCCTGCACAAAACTAAAGTCCAAGTGGATCAAAGACCTCAATATAAAACCAGACACAGTAAACCGGTTAGAAGAAAAAGTGGGGAAGACCCTGGAACTCATTGGCACAGGAGAGAACTTCCTGAACAGAACACTAACAGCACAGGCTCTAAGAGCAACAATCAATACATGAGACCTCATGAAATTGAAAAGCTTCTGTAAAGCAAAGGACATTGTCCTCAGAATAAAACGACAGCCTATGGACTGGGAAAGGATCTTCACCAACCCTATATCTGACAGAGGGCTGATATCCAGAATATATAAAGAACTCAAGAAGTTAAAAAGCAACAAATTAAGTAATCCAATTAAAAATGGGAAAAAGAACTAAACAGAGAATTCTCGATAGAGGAATATTGAATGGCAGAGAAACACTTAAAGAAATGCTCAGCATCATTAGCCATCAGGGAAATGCAAATAAAAACTACCCTGAGATTTCACCTTACACCCATAAGAATGGCCAAGATCAAAAACTCAAGTGACAACACATGCTGGAGAGGTTGTGGAGAAAGGGGAACCCTTCTCCATTGCTGGTGGGAATGTAAATTGTACAACGACTCTGGAAATCAATCTGGCACTTTCTCAGACAATGAGGAATAGTGCTTCCTCAAGATCCAGCCATACCACTCCTAGGCATATATCCAAAGTGCCTCAAGTACACAATAAGGACAATTGCTCAACCATGTTTGTAGCAGCTTTATTTTTAATAGCCAGAAGCTGGAAACAACCCAGATGCCCCTCAACTGAAGAATGGATGCAGAAACTGTGGAACATCTATACAATGGAATATTACTCAGCAATGAAAAACAAGGAAATCATGAAATTTGCAGGTAAATGGTGGGAACTGGGAAGGATCATCCTGAATGAGCTATCCCAGAAGCAGAAAGACATACACGGTATATACTCACTCATATAGACATATAATATAGGATAAACCTAGTAAAATCTGTACACCTAAAGAAACTAATCAAGAGGGAGAACTCTTGCTAAAATGCCCAATCCCCACCTCAAAAGGCAAAGAGGATAGACATCAGAAGAAGAAAAAAATAGGAAACAAGTTAGGAACCTGCCAGCGAGAGCCTCTGAAAGGCTCTGCCCTGCTGACTATCAAAGCAGATGCTGAGACTTATGGCCAACTGTTGGGCACAGTGCATGGAATCTTATGTAAGAAGTGGGAGTGTGGGGCTGGGGAGGGAATGAGGGAGCGGGATACAGCTGGGACACAGAGTTAACAAAATGTAACTACCAAGGAAAATAAAATTAAAAAAAAAAGTGGGAAATAGTAAGATCTGGAGAGGACAGGAGCTCCACAAGGAGAGCAACAGAACCAAAAAATTTGAACACAGGGGTCTTTCCAGAGACTCATACCCCAACCAAGTACCATTCATGGAGATAACCTAGAACCCCTGCATAGATGTAGCCCATGGCATTTCAGTGTCTAAGTGGGTTCCATAGTAATGGGAACAGGGACTGTCTCTGACAGGAACTGATTGGCCTACTCTTTGATCACATCTCCCTGAGCGGGGAGCAGTGCAGTCTTACCAGGCCACAGAAGATGGCAATGCAGCCACTTCTGATGAGATCTGATAGACTAAGATCAGAAGGAAGGAGAGGAAGGCCTCCCTTATCAGTGGACTTGGGGGCATTCGTGGAGGAGAGGGAGGGAAGGTGAGATTAGGAGGGGGGGAGTTTATGGGGGATACAAAGTGAATAAAGTATAATTAATAAAAGTTAAAATAAAAAAAAACAAAGAAAATGTAATCCCTTAGTCATATAAAAGGAAGAACCATGTGAGGGTGCAAGAGAGAAGAAACAGGGTCCATTGTCATTGACAATTGTATGTGCTAGGCCCTTCACTCCCTCTTCCTGCCTGGGATTGACACAAGCCAGAAAACTCCTCATTGTCAGAATTACCAAGTTTCATTAAATGTCCTCATGAAACAAAAGGTTATGATGCCGCAAATTCTGTATTTGTATCACTTACACTTCTGTATCTGGTCTTGTTTTTGTATGATAATCTTTATGTATCATATACAACCTCTGTGTGATTAATTAAATCTCTGTCTGCTTAATTCAATCTCAATGATAAGTGGGGGGCATGGTCAGAACTTCAAGATCTGATTTTGGTATTTCGATTGAAGAAATGAAAGGACAACAGAAAACTTCTACCTGTGCCAAAGAAATGTTGGATGAAGTCGAAGGTAAGACCTGGGATATTGGTGACTGGAACCTCGCTGTGGTTTCTTCAGGACAGAGAGGGAGATCTGGGCCCTCCAAACCTTTCGTCTTTTTCACTCCAGTCTTTTCTTTACTCATACTTTTTCTTTTCTGAAAGTATATTCATGGCCCTGTTAATGAGTTTCAGTACCAATCGAGCAGAGCATGTCTTCATTATTAGGTAATAGTTTTATTGTATCTGAATATGTTGGAAACTTGAAGGAGTAACACCCACCCTCTGGCCATGCCTAAAATAAAGTCATAAATAGTTACAAAATATGTGCACAAATGGTTTCATCACATAAAGGGAAAAGAAAACTTATTTGCACTGTTTCCACAATGAGAAGACATAACTGAATATGAATTAGTAAACTAGGTTTGTGTAAATATGGGATGTTGGGGTTTTTTCTAATGCTGACCCTCAAGATTTGGTTACACCTATTCTCATTTTGCAAACCTGCCTAAGTCATTATATATGATTGCTTTATTAAACAGCCTATTGCTGGCAGGGCAGAATGGTGTGGCTAAGGTTCCCAGGCTTTTGAGGACTAGAGAATCATAGGAGATGGACAGGAGGAGAGGAGGAAGGAGGATGCCAGGGTAGGTTAGGAAAAGCAACCTCGTGGGTGAGGAGGAAAGACTCCAATAATGGAGTGAAAAGGCCAGATGAAGGATATAAGCAAGTACCATGGGATTAGGTATAAAAGAACGACCAGATGAGGGGGATTAAGGTGGATGGCATTGGATGGGGGCTGGGAGATGGATAGTGAGGTAAATGAGCCACTGTACGTAAAATATCTGTTCAGACCAAGGTTTAATAAGGCAATTATAGATCTAATAAGTGCCTGTGTCTTACTATTTGTGGTAGCAGGTTAAGTAATACTACAGAGATAATCTTAGGGCTAGTAAACATTATATAGCCCAACGACCATTTATTTAATTTACTACAACAATGGAACAACCATTCCTCTATCAGATTTTCAAGTCCATGGCCTCTCTAGTAGGAGTGAACACAAATTAACCTCACAAGATCAATTGTTATGCGTTTCAATAAAACTTGAAGATAAACTGATAAAACAGTGAGTACTTGATGGACAGACTCGGGGGAAGAGGGACCGCCTCTGCCTCTGTGGACTACCAGTGCTCTGCCATTCCTCAGTTAATCTCACCTGACCTGTGGATGTCTTCCCTCCTTCAGATGCTAAACTGTGGCTTGTAGTCGATGTAGGTATAGCAGAGCCTGCTTTTTGCTTCTTTTTTTTTCCAGTGGGGTTTTTCCTTTTACTAGGATGGGTATAATTTTCATTAAAACAAGTTCATGAACAAAAAAGCCCATATAACCCAAAACAAATGGTGTAGGAACCATTTGCTTTTCCTACCATTTCCTCTGTGCTGCATTCATATCAATGCTTACTCCATTAGCCTGCTGTAGGAACAAAACAATAAAGGCACAGCCTTTGATGCCGTCTCGCGCTGGCCAATGTTTTCCTTACTTGTTCTTCATGAAATGAGAAAATCCTTCCTGTTCTTGAACCCCATGAACCTCTGCCAAGCTTTTCTCATTACTACTCTTCTACCAGTCTCTTAAAAATCCAAGTTTTTATCACACTGACTGGTTGTTCATGTTTTGTGTATAATACACTCAAATCATAGACACCAACGACAGGATATCTGACATAAAGCTGCGAAGTGACATACAACAGTTGTGGATTTTAACTCTCTAAAATCTTTTCAGCCAACTCAGTAATTTTATGAAAGGCAGTGGAGCTGCGTGCCTTCTTAAGGTACTATTTAATTAAAATATTGCTTTAGTTTTGTCAGTAGAAAGGATAATTAGTTATCTTAATAGAATAGGTAAGGCAATCTGTTAGTGAATATACTTAAATATAAATCATAATTTCTATAATTCAGATTTGTTATTTTATAACGTCTATGCTACACCTGAAACCGCAATCTTCAATCAACTTCTATTTTCTCTTTAATATCCACACCAAATATGCTTCTTAAATGACAAGCATGCACTGGGGAAGGGAACATCCTCAGTAGTCAATCCAAGCACAAATATGTCCACTGAAGTGTGAATTGGAATAGGACAGCTATGTTTATGAAGGGAGCAGAAATAATAAGACAGTAGCAGGGGCAGTGAAATTCTTTGTTTCATATTACCTTTTGATCTCTCTTTTTGAAGAGTTTCAGCAAGTTTTTTAAGAGCTGGTATATATTCACAGAACACTATCAGTGTGCCCAATCCAGCATCAGCAGGGAATTCATCTTCCATAATGTCAGCAATCTGAACCTTGGTATAATTCTCTTGAATGTCTCTCTTCAGTTTTAAATCACTAGACATTAATGACTTAAATAAGCTAAAATAATGATCATTAATGAACTCTAGTCCTTGCAGTAGAACAATTCTCTTGTATTCATTTACCATCTTTCAAGTTGTTGGTGAGCCTGTAAGAGAAAATTGACATACACTGTGTTCATATATTCAGAAATTACCAAAGAAAGGCATGCGTATGTGGATGGACGAGCTATTTGGAAACATTGCATACAGGTGTGTTTGTGAAAAGAGAGCAACACAATAGCCATTTATGTCTCATGGAATATCACTTAAGAGTTGCTGTATTGAAGAAAAGCTTCAAAAACAATCTTCCCTATTAAAGATGATAATTGAGTTGGGACAATGGTAGTTGTGAAGAAAAAATGTCTGTAGATGAGCCACTGTGGCAAAGCTTAGGAGAATTGGCTTGTGGCTTCTCTTTTCTCTTTATAAGCCTTCGCATTGTTGTCTGCCTGTCAGATCCTGACTCTTTACACCTACTATGTCTATATTGATTATTTTTCTTGTCATTACAAGAATACCCAACAGAAGCAACATATGGGTAGATTATTTATTTTGTCTTATAGTCTCACAGTAAGAAAATCTTGGTGCTTGGGACCCAGTCCATGACCACATAGCCTGTTAAATTTCTATAGATAAGGTAAAATAAGTCTTTTAAAATATTTAATTTTATTTATATATTTATTTGTTACAATTTATTCACTTTGTATCCCCACTGCAGCCCCCTCTCTTATCTCCTCCTAGTCCCACTCACCCTCCCTCTTCTACCCCTATGCCCTTTCCCTAGTCCCCTGATAAGGAAGGACTCCTCCTCCTCTTCTATCTGACTCTAGCTTATCAAGACTGGCTGCATCATCTTCCTCTGTGGCCTGGCATGGCCGCACTCCCCCAGGGGGAGGTGAACAAAAAGCCGGCCACTGAGTTCATGTCAGAGACAGTCCCTTACTAGGTCCCCTTGCTAGGGAACCCACTTGGAAACTGAGCAGTCTGTGGACTTTCTCTGAGCAGGAGGTCTAGGTCCTCTCAATGCATGGTCTTTAGTTGGAGTATCATTTTCTGCAGGCTCCCTGGGCCAGGTATTTTGGCTCTATTGTTCTGGTGGAGTTCCTGTCTGTTTCAGGTCTTTCTGTCTCCTTCTTCTTCCATAAGGATTCTGGCACTCTGCCCAAAGTTTGACTATGAGTCTCAGTAGCTCTTTTGATACCCTGGTGGGTAGAGTCTTTCAGAGATCCCCTGTGGAAGGCTCCTGTCCTGTTTCTTGTCTTTTCCTACTTCCAGTGTCCATCCTGTTTGTCCTTCTGAACAAGGATTATGCATCTTCCGTAGGGTCCTCCTTGTTGTTTAGCTTCTTTAGGGCTATAGATGTTAGTTAGTATGTTTATCATATCATATATGGCTAATATCCACTTATAAGTGAGTATATATCATTTGTATCTTTCTGCTTCTGGGTTACTTCACTCAGGATGATCTTTTCTAGATTCCACCATTTGCCTGTAAAAATTCATGATTTCCTTGTTTTTAATTGCTGAGTAGTTTCCATGGTGCAAATGTACCACTCTCTGTATCCATTTCTCTGTTGAGGGACATCTAGGTTGTTTCCAGCTTCTGGCTATTGTGAATAGAGCTGCTAACACCATGGTTGAGCAATTGTCCTTATTGATTGGTGGTACATCTTTTGAGTATATGCCTAGGAGTGGTATAGCTGGATCTTGAGGTAGAGTCTTTAAGTTAGTACCCTGGTGGCTATAATCCTCTAGCCCTGTGCTTACATTTGCCTGGTAGACTCTATCCACTAAAGGATCCTCAGCCCTCCACTGACAACTGGTTCCCAAGTGACATGAGACACAGATTTCACACCAGAACATTTCACATCCAAACCGTAACAACGATTAATGTGACAAATGGGTGAAATGGGCTGCAGTCTCTCACACGATGTATGAGTAACTTTGGCCACAGCACTACAGCTCTGTGTTGGATACCTTTTTCCCTTTAGCTCTTCCATAACATCTATAAGTAATATTATCTTTTCCTCTGGAGTAAGTCACTATGTTTTCAGTTCTCACTGCTCTGTGTCACTGTCCTTTTACAGAACTTTTTCTAACTCTCATATATAATCAAAACGTTTTTTGACTGGGAGCTTTTCAATTGTTGTCTCTTCTTCATTCAGTGCTCAGTACCTTCACACTTATACATTTATAGAGGCATAGATTTGTGGCCAATCTGGGCTACATAATAATGCCCAGAAGCAAAAAAATATCTACAGAATGGAGTAGAATATTTGTAAAAGTACATTTGACAATGAACTGATAACGTAAATACATGAAACTCAAAAAAAAAAAAGAGAAAAAAAAGAGAAAAGAAAAAAAACCCAAACGATAACTACTCAAAACCCCACAAGTAATGCAAAATAAAAATGGGCTAAAGAACTAAATAATACAATTTGAGGAGTCATCAGCAATAGGGCCTTGTATTTGCAGTTATGGTCTAGTTAATCTCCATGCATGGTCCTTGGTTAGAGTATCAATCTCAGAAAAGACCCCTGGTCCCAGATCTTTTGGTTCTGTTGCTCTCCTTGTAGAGCTCCTGTCCCTTTCAGGTCTTTCTATCTTCCCCTTCTTTTTAAGATTTCCTGCACTCTGCCCAAAGTTTGGTTATGAGTGTCAACATCTGCTTTGATAAACTGCTGGTAGAATCTTTCAGAGGCCCTCTGTGGTAGACTCCTGTCCTGCTTCCTGTTTTCTCCCTCGTCCAATGTCTGTCCTATTTGCCTTTCTGAGTGAGAAAGACACACACAATATAAAGAAGAAAAAAAAAACAACTATATATATACATGCTTTAAAAATAGGCTTAGTTTTTCTAATCATCAGAGAAAGTTAAATAAAAGCCACAGTGATGCATAATTCCATCCAAGTATAAAGCTTATCATTACATGTACAAGAAATAAGTTCTGACAAGGATTCAGAGAAACAGAAACTGTAACACATTGTTTGAAGAAACATATTTTTGTATAAGCATTACAGAAAATAGTATTGAAATACCTTACATACAAAAAGCACAACCAGTGTATTCCATTTCTTCCATTAACTGATATGTAACCAAAGGAAATTAAACCGCTCTATACAAAAGTCAATTGTGCTTTTATGTTATTGCACTATTTTTTTTTAAACAGGTGAAATACAGAATAAAGGTAAATGTCTTTCGATGGATAAGTGAATAAAGAAAATGAGTAGCCAGGTTCCATGGAATATACCTATAACCCCAGTACTGGAGAAGGCGAGACAGGGTGATCAGAAGTGCAAGGCTATCCTCAATTACGAGACTTTGTCTCCAAAGTGTAAGCAAAAACAAAAAAAATGTGGTAATTATACATGAAAAGTCAGGAAGATAGCTTAGTTGGTAGAAGCACCTGCTGTGCAAGCCTTATGACCTACATTTAGATCCCAAGAACTTTCAGAATGCCAGGTGCAGAGGTGTACATCTGTAACCCCAGCTCCCCTAGAGTGAGAAAGAAGGTAGACATAAAAGAATTTCCTGGAAAATTGTGGGCCAGCAGTCCTGGAATACGAAGCACAGAAGCAGAAACAGTAAGAGATCTCTTACTGTTTGCTGCCCCAAAGCAAAAAGCAAGAAACAACTCCCCAAACATTGCCTGTGATTGCCACACGTGTGCTGTGGTATCTGTACACTGTGGTATGTGTGCACTCAAACACTCCCCAAAAAACACACCAAATCCTCACTAGTCGTTAAAAGCAGTGAACTTTTCTCACTAGAGAAAGCAGGAACTAGAGACAAATATGTTCAGTGAAACACGGCAGATACAGGAAGACAAACACCATATGTTTCCGTTATGTACAGAAATAAACTTTGTAGTAAAATAAAATGCAATAGTGGTCATTAGGTGTGGGAATGAGCCGGGGCAAGAGGCAGGTAAAGAAGTCCAATAAGGACCATCAAAACACAGAGGGCAAGTCTTACCCTGGGTCTTGTTTAGCACAATAGGTCAATTATTGAACGGAACAGTGTATGATGTTTTTCAAAATAATTATAAAATAAAATATGAAATAACCAACACATACAATTATTGATTGCTAAAAGCATGGAGATGTTTGTTTCCTGGGCTAGACTACTACACATTAAGTATGTAAATTCAATCCGTATAAAAGTGTAAAAGATAGAAAAATTAGTAACTATTTTGAAGAATAAAAATGTAAAATATCCACCACTTAGAAAGCAGGGATTGGTATAAATCTTAGAGTTTGAGGCCATCCTGGTCTACACAGACAGTTTTAAGCTAATGACACGAAGTGAGAGCTTGTTAAAAAAAAAAAAAAAAAAAAAAAAAAAAAAAAAAAAAAAAAAAAAAAAGACAAAACTAAAAGCAGAACAAAGCAAAACAGGAACATAAAATGAGACTTTTTTAAAGTGCTTTAGAAAAAAAATACCTTTTTATTGCTGACAAAAATACCATTTGATGGTTTAAAAACGTTGAAAAATTTGATGCTAAAAGGGTAATTCAAAGAAATGAAAATTATCTATTAATGTAGTTACAGACTTTCCAAAAGATTATCATAAGAACTTGAATCTCACTACCTAACATCAAGATTCCAGCCAGCCTTGATGAGACCTGATAGGCTAGGGTCAGATACTAGGGGAGGGGGACCTCCTCTACCAGGGAACTAGGGAATGGGCATTGGAGGAGAAGAGGGAGGATGGGTGGGACTGGGAGGAGACAATGGAGGGGGCTGCGGTGGGGATACAAAGTGAATAAATTGTAATAAATAAATATAAAAATAAAATTAAAAAAGAAAAGTGAAATATTTTCATTATATAATTATCAAATTATAACAGAATTTAGTTTTATAACTACATTCATCCCATGACATTAAATCGTTGTATGTAGTAAAATACAAAGTTAATCATACATTGAAGAGTGCCATGGTGGCTAATGTCTGTGATGCAAGGCCTCCAGAGGCAGAGGCAGAAGGCTATAAATTTGAGGCTGGCCTCAGCTCTAAGCCAAGTTCCAGGCAGACCTGGATACTTGAGTAGTGAAATTATTTTTCAAGCAACAACAATAATAACACCAATAA